CCCCCTTAGTAGCACAGCGGTATGTCTGCGGACTTGCAACGCTAGAAACCGGGTTTCGGTACACGTGGTGGGAAGAGTACAGATAGCCCATTGTGTTGTTTTATGCTTAACTTCAAACAAACAAATGTTATTATGTCGGATTACATGGTAATGTCTAAAATACAAAGTAAAATATGTTTTATGCTATTGTACCGTCTCATTAAATAGAGAAGGTTTAAGTTTTAACTGGAAACGTGTGCAGTACATAAAAACGGACGAACCTACCCTTTTTTATATTATTAATATATATATATATTTGCGTGACATTGAAACCAGTAACTTTCACGGAACTTTGGATAAAACAAAAGAGATACCCGCATGACTTTTCAAGTCACGCGGGTATTGAGTTGAAACAGCAATTTGTTTCTAAAGTATTGTATGAGGTTTAACTAACTATAATTCTTTTTTTGGCTTTAAAAAGTACAACTAACTACAATTTTCGATATATATACTTAATACGTATTGCTCAAATGCTGCAAATATTTATATATTTTATTTGATTTTTATTGTTTGCTTCTTTGGTATTTTCAGTTATTCTGAATTCACTAAATAGGCAAGATCCGACGAATACTATGTTATGGTTTGTTTGTAATTATGCACAAAGCTACACAATGGGCTATCTGTGCTCTGCCAACCAGGGGTATCGAAACCCGGTTTCTACTCTATTATGGAGTATGGGTCTGTTCTTCCCTGGCTCCGACTTTGTTCACAAAGGAAGTGATGGTACAAAAATTCAAAATCATTCTCAAGAAAACAGTCACGATACAAAATGAAACACAGGTAAGTGTTTGTTGTGTGAGTGTGGAACCGACGAGGAAGATATATATATATAATGTATGTAAAAAAACACAAAAAACGTTTATTAATTCTCTTTCACCAGTGTGTGTGAGCCCACCTGTAAACTAGAAGAAAAGGGGAAATTAAAACCCTCTGAAATGATTGTTTGTGTGTTTTTAATTATGCACAAAGCTACACAAGGGCTATCTGTGCTCTGCCCACCACGGGTATCGAAACCCGGTTTCTGGCATTGTATGTCCGTAGACATACCGCTGTGCCACTGGAGGCTCTGAAATGAAAAACAAAACTAAAAGGCAAAAGTTGAAGCTTAAATTAAGTCTAAATCTCAATATACTCTACATTGCTAAGAGCTAAAATTTCATATTTCGTTTGAATAATAGGAGAAAACCTGATCTTTAAATTCAAAATGATATGAGCAAAGACAGGATGCTCATGGCACGCACATCGCCCACGTGATATACATTCATGAACATAAAGCGCACCTTAAGCCCTGGGCTGTTACACTATTCGCCGATAGAAAAGACAGTTGTCTATTTCGGCAATTAGGATTGAAAACATCTAGATCTATAATGGCTGGAGACGGCTTAAATGGGTAATGAAGAAAAACTTTAATATAAGCTTAACATGACAGCAAATG